CGATGGAGATCGAAACTGAAGAATACTATAGACTAAGGCAGCATAAGTGAAGAATGAAACGTTGATGGATATTTAGTCACCTAGAACGATTAAATAGTAGCGAAATATGATTGTAATTTCGGAAACCGCAAGAATATCTGAGACACGAGTTTTGCACTCGTTGAATACGATTTAACAAGATTTTTTAATAAACCTCCCGCAGGAATCCTTTCTCTTCCTACAACCGAATTTTCCGTCTCTAGTCCCCGCCTAAGCAACGAAAAATCCAGCTGTACCGACGGAATTGTTCTCTCCGTCAGGAAGCAGAGAATATATCGTGGGCGAGGCTTCCTGATATTATTCAACGAGAGTTGACGTAATATCCAAGAAATCCGCCGTGTTTCTTGCAAAGCGATGTCACCGGTGCACACATATCGTACGTCTCGTGTTCAACATTGTGCTAGCATTTTTATTTCGTTCGCGACGAATGGCGACAATCGCGAGAGCCGCGGCGCGCGACCCCTCGGCGGCGTCCCTATATTTTTCCACGAGTAGGAAGTAATTTCAGCGGGTTTAGATGGATTAGACCATGAAGTGGTGGAAAGTGTGTTTACGGGCCCGTGAATCGTCGCGGCGCGCCCGCTCTTCCGGCGAACGGACGCGATGGCGACGGAATTCACCACGCGGACGTAACGATTCTTCACGAGCGCGTGTGCATCGGACCTTCCGAGTCGCTCCTCGGCGTTTTGCACAGCGTAATTCCTCCGATTCCGCACAAATTGCGCTCGCCCTGGAAGAAGAATGGTTCGTGGGTTCCCGGCAAAATTCGATTGCGAAATTGGGTTGCTCGTGTCACGACGAAGAGAAGGGAAAAGGAAGAAGAAAAGGAGCTCGTACCGAAATAAGCGATTCAACGCGGTCATGTTTGCTGTCTGCGTCACGGCGCGCCAGCGAGGACACGCTGACACGCTCGTTCTCACCTGGAATTATGCGTCTCGAAAAGCGTGTCGTAGAACGGCGAGGTGGCGCGTCGCGTTTACACGATCACGTACAGCGGCCCGATGCGTTCGACATTCTTGTTACACGTGCGGCGATATAACGGCTCGCGAAAGGTTGCAATTACACGCCGACAGACACGGCTTCTTCGACGGAGAGAGAAGAAAAAGCGATACGCGCGCGCATCGTGGAATAGCCGATCGGCGGTTATCCCGCGAAGCGCCGATGTCGCGAATCGGTCGCGACAACTGGCGGATGTCGAAGGTGGAGAAAAAAAAAGTTAAGAGAACGAGACAAACAAGACGTTGCATTCCGACGCCGATAGTTCCCGCGTTCCGATCGGGTATTCCATTACGCGCAATTTTCCAACCTCGAGGCGGTTACGCAACCGAGCCGACGTCCACTGAGAAACTCATTTAGTTGACTCAATCTAAATTCCTGTCTGCATATGGACGAACAGTGATTTCGGTTATAAGAATCAAATTTTGATTCACTGAACGAAAAGTTTGGCTCCCGTAACCATTTGTTTATTTATCCGTATCCAAACAAGAATTTAGTTTAAATCAAATTAAATGCGTTTTTCAGTATGCGTTGACGTCATCCGAGAGGCTACTTTGAATTCTGCATTTCATAGTCCACTTCTTATTCATATTTATCGCCTTTAAACAGATGCGCATGCGAAAATGCACGTAGCGATAAAAACCAAAGAAGAATTGAGAAACAGAGTGCTTACTTTTTTTATATAATCTTGATAATAACAATAATAACCTTATCGCGGATGGTATATAAATGATTACTGTTCCGTAAGAAATATTAAGTGGAAGGAAAGAAAGAAGCGTAAAGAGAAAAATATATTACATGTCTATGATGAAGTCTAACGATCGTCTTAAATTTTAATCAAATGTGACATTCCCTCTCATTTCTCTCCTAAGCGGGAAAAGCGATTTTTCTCGTAAATATACACGATACATCGTGTTGTGGGAAACCGAGAAAATATTCAGAGCCATCACTCGGAAAGATATATACGTCCCGTATTCCTTTAAGCCCCAACCATCACAATCGTAATGGTCAGACATTTTATCTCCATATGACTCACAGGGAGAAGACAATTTTATTGCTGTAACTGAATTTTCCGTTGCCTGGAGACCAGACGAAGAACTCAGTCGTAAGAACGGAAAGATTCCTATAGAAAGTTTCTATTTAGTCAATTGACTCTCAGTTGTCTCGACCGAATTTTAATACTGAATTTTCAGACGAATATTCTCAGTCATACTAACAAAAATATCACTTCTTGTCATCGAGTTTTTACTTCTTGTCGCCGAGTTTTCATCTAACTTTATTCAGTTGTAAGAATTGAATTTCTTTTTGAACACCATATGCCCAACCACTACAACCATGATGATGGGTTTCTGAGATATAAGAAAGATATTTCTTTTACGATTTTTCCCTAAGATTTAAAGATAATTTTGAAAGTAAAATGGCATTTGCAAGAGAATTTCCAAGTAAAATTCTTAGGTTTTAAACGGGTATCATGGTAGTGCGACCGAAAAAGAACTTACCTATTATGACTTACCTATTCACGAGCGACTGGCACTGATCAGCTGATTGCGTCGAGGACGCCGCGACGATAAGTATGCATAGTTGCGCGATAACTGGCGCACGATAATTGGCGTTGTTGTGTTTTTTCCGGCGCGATAAGGATTTCAGCGTCCGAGATAAGGCGGTCTCGTGGCCGACAACGCAACCGGGTCGCGCTGACGGCTCTCGAGTTCTTACCTGGCTGCGTGCGTGCGAACGAAGCGGCTTCCTCTCCGGGCGACGTGCAAAAGTGAAAATCGCGGTTAATCGTAAGAACGATTACGATCGGGATCGCGTCGGCGCCCCGGGCGCCTCTTTCACCCGAGTGTGCCGTAAAAAAAGGAGAGAAGACAGGAGATAGAAGGGGGAGAGAAGAGAAGAGAGAAGAAGAAAGAAAAGTAATCCGAAGCGCGATACCGACATGTCCTCTGATGGCCAGGATCAGGATATCGTATCTTGCCCTGCGGATCCCGAAACCGGGAGGTGGCGTTTCTTTCACGTAGGTGATCAAAGGTGATCGAAGGAATTTTGTGCAGTGGCGAAACGCTTTCGCGCTTCTTTCGCCGATCCTCTTATCGTCGTGGGGCGTTGCATTCGTCGTGTCACATTCGACGTGGTACTGCGAGCCTCGCGGATTTTCTTCGCTGCACTTCGTAACGCGACGTAACGTAGAGCTTCCTTATCGATGATAAACGTATAAATGCAGAGTCCACTAGACTAATTAGAACCATCGAGTGAACAAGAAACGTAATGAGTCCTTGACACCGAAGACGATTATTACTAAAGAATAAGATAACATTATGGCTCCCATTTACATTACAACTATTATATATATCATTGTTTTGCTTTGTTTAAAATATATAAACAGAATAAAATGTTACATAACGAACAAAACACTCAAGTGTACATATATTCATGTGATAACACATTCAAATTTAAGAGGAATGATTGACTGATAAATAATTCAATGCTAAAGTGTAACTTGAAAACAAAATGCTTGAGAATGAAAATGCGTTCTGACAATGCTACTGTGTACTGGCATATGAGCGTCAACCGTCATTGTGTAATGGTAGGCTACTAAAGAAATAATTCGATTAGTGGTTACGAGAATTCGTCATTTCAATTGCGAAGATATCAATATGGGCGATAATACCATCTTCTCCTCTATTATCATTGCAAAATCGTTAAGAGCGCCGAGAACTCGTTTCGTGGTCATCGAGAGGTCGTTGGAGAGTGACGGGATTACGACAGACAATGGCATAATCGGGCAATTAAATCGCGTCGTCCTTAAACTCGACCTCAGTCGAACGACATGGAATGAAAACACGCCGGTAATAACGCGACAATCCTGTTTGGCCGCAATTAAATCGCGTTATCGCTATGATCATATTTATGATTTATGATGTAGTTTCATTACCGCTTGATATCTCGTGAACTATATTTGCACACGATCACACGGGATACTAAAGTATTCTTCCCGAATTGCGTCCAGTTTTCCGCACGGAGAGCGCCGGATAAAATTTGTTCCCTTAGTTTACGTAGTTCGTCGTAAAATTGGACTTGCGATGAGTAAGCATCCTAAGCTCGTATTATAACTGTGTAGCGACGTTGAACAGAACGTTCCGCTTGCTTGTAACGGAAGACGGAGGAGACGAGTGCTACGAGAATGACGCGCTATGTTACCATTGTGCCCGCGTAACCACTTACTCCCCTTTCCTAATGAGGCTCTAATATTTTATATTACGAAGACACGCAGGATCTCTGCGAAAAAAGACTATGAGATTTGTATCGTGATAAATCGCTTCCGTCATACATATTGTGACATACTCGCATTCGCAACACCCAGCATTCAATGTCTTTTTCGACGCTGCTTTATCGGACTTTAATGAAACATTGTTGGTTATCAATGCGATTAATATTTTATGCAGCAGCAATAATTCATCTCGCTTTCTCACACGGAGAGAAATCATTTGCTAGGACGACAAATCTTATGCTGTCGCAGCAAAATCCGCCAGTTACTACGTGGACAGCAAAACGATTTGTTAACAGCACCAATTGCCGTTTGCTGGATTGTTTTGTTGAATCTACAAATTACTTTGATGCAAGAACAAATTAGTAAATGTATGAAAACACTATTTTGTTCCAACAGCGCAAATTAACGTGTTCTACGGATAAACACACTCAGCGCCGAGTATTTCCTATCCCGGCAACAAAACTGTTATTGCTCTAATTACGAATAATTCGTTAATTCGGTTATGCCTAACTAAATTTTATCGTTGTCACAACAAATAAGCGGTAGCAACGGTGGCTTCGCTAGTAAAATTTCAACAGTAAAATTATTTTTCTCCATGTGTGCATAAAAGTACCTTCGATCTTTCGGTCGGTATTTTCCCCCATACACTCATTAATACCGAAGGATACTAAATGATGAATCCTGTAATTTGCAGAGAATCCCGAGCTGTTCTGTGAAGAGTTCACAGCCTCTAAAGGAATTTGTTGGTCGCTGCCAGACTATGCCATCGCGAGTGAAGAAATCGTTCTGCGGCTGCCTCCAGGTAAGCTTCCACGTAACTTTTACATAAACAAGCCGTAACCGCAGAAGCAACGAGAAGAAAACTAGGCTACTGCAGTTTTAGAATTAAACAAGTCTATCGATATCATAAACAATAATATTTCGCTACACTTGAAAAGAAATATTACATAAAAGTATAATATTAAATGAAACATAAAATTAAATGAACAAGTTAAATAAAAATATTACACTTTAACGATGTCGTAAAATAACATGTAACTTTCAGTTCGGTAATGTGAGAGAGAAATGTCGAGACGTAAAGACGTGTGTTTCCATAGAAAATAATATGGCATCGACATCGATTATTCACGATTAATCGTTCACGCATAACGCGCAATGAAGAAAGCTGGAATCGTCAACAACGTTATTAAACCGTCGCAGACAGTGTCAATAAAGACTCTATGATATTCGTTATAACGATGTAACAATATTGACATTGATATCTCGCTTCGCAGGTGACATCATCGATTCACTTTCTCCCTGTCCGAATTGAGACGCGATGGTAACCGACTCCAAGTCGCGAAACAACGCCACGCGTATGCATGTGTCCGCTTTCTTCAGCTACACGGAGAAAATATTGCAGTAAAAATTACTACAAAATTTTGTAATGTTGGAATTATGACTATGAAATTATTATGTGTGCTGTAATCTTTAATAATATGTGCAATGAAGTACATTACTAAAAGTTGCAACACGTAATTTCAGTTACGGCACGGTGCAGCATTGCAAAATTTTGTGGTCATTTTTACCACAACATTTCCTTCGTCCACGTTCCTCTTACACTGAGAAAAAGGACTTGACAATTTATTTGTGATATATAAGAACTATTTCACAGAGATAAACGTTTATTTAAATACGGCGAAATAAAATTTTATTCTTAGCAAATAAACCGATTGATGAGAAAATTCGGGTATATTTCACGAAAATATATATTCCGTTATCCCGGTGAGAATTTCCTTCTAACCGATAAGCATCGAAGAAAGTATCACGAGAAACACTTCGGAAAAATTGTTTTTCTCAGTGTAACGTTCGTAGCCCCTCGGAGTTCCACATCCGCTTTCTTTGCGCAAAGCAAGGGGGACCGCGAGGGCCAGGAACGCAGCTGAAGAAGGAACGCGCCTTAATTAATCCGACGTTCGATCGAAGCCCTTCCGATGAGCACCGATCGTGCGCCGATGCGCTGCGCGAATGCCGGCCCTTAAGATTCCTCCTTGCGCTCTCGCGCACTCATCCGCGCATTCTCCCCCGAGATCCCGGCGGCACGCAGCGAACTGTGACCCTCGTTGTGCGAATCTTCGCAGAGCGGATCGTAGAATAGGAAGCTCTTACGTAAGCTGGAGCAAAACGGAGCTCTCCCGGCAGGGAGAGGACGAAGACACGCCTGAAATTGGCGGTATCTTCCGGATGAAACGAGCCGAGACAGGCCGATAGGATCGCCCACGTCGTCTCGCATCGTGGCTCGCGCGATCCGCGCTAAATTATTATTATGTCCGATACGCGAGTGTACACTCGTAATGAGCGGCCCAGACATTCCTGCCTTCGTTACGCCAACGCGCTTGACATCCGCGATATGTGGAGATGGGCGTACGCGGATACGACATTCCGCGTGAACAATGCGGCAATAGGTCGATCGAATGGTCCTCGCAGAGTCGCGTGTCTCGTCAGATAACAATCGTCAAGTGTAATTGCGATACACTGGATATCCGCGTGGCAGACGCGCGAACGCGAGAAATTCGTTTGAAGAATCGCGCACACGCGCGATGACTGATCGTGATTCGTGCAATACTACTGATATAATACTGATATCGATATTTTTCCTTTGATATCGGATATTTTTGTATCGTCATTTTCTTTCGATACTCGCACTTATATCAATACTGTTTTGTTTCGATAACTTTTTCTTTTTTTAGCGAATTTTAGCGTTAATAACACTCGAGAATCCCGGTTACAAACAGCAGTTGTTTTATTTAAACAAATCACGTGCCCACTTATGGATTAAATATGTACATATATACATAAATATTATTATAAATTATAAATTTCACATGGCTTTTAAGACAAAATCACCAGCAATTTGAAACTTTTATATAATGTCTCTATATCAGTCTTTCATCACAGTAGTTTTTTTATTAAAATCCTAAATGTGGTTTAGAAGAAATTAAAAATAGAAGAATTTAGGATAAAACGTTAATTTCAAGGAATACGTATAAAAAGTGTCATCTTCAGTCACGAGTATCTCAGTTTCCGAATGGTCAATCGTTTTCTAACTTAACAGACGGGTAGATAGAATTTCAAAGGATTCCTGAGAATATGGTTTGACGGACCAACTACCTTAAATTATAGCGCGCTCCGCTTTCTCGCTCCGTTTCGTTAGTCTGAAGGCCGTAAGAAAGGACATCGAGAGAGTTATCGGACATATAATTATCCGAATCCTTTTCGTCGTCTCGCACGTCTCGCGCGCGTGCGCGAATCGCGTGCATAATATGCGAATTCACCGAGGCGTTTCTCCCGAGACAAGATTAGATACACGCGCGTTAATCTGAAAGTCAATCGAAAGTGGAGAGATGATTGAATCATTAGCCGCACTTTTGATTCGTCCCTCACGTGACCGACGATCGTCGAATATAAATGAAGTGTGTGACTTGTACAAATCGGCTAAATTGCATGTTTGTTAATTACATTCGACGGATCCGACACGCAAGCGGAGCGTTTCTTTCCACAGATCTGTTGGTCGGCCGGCTCGCTGACGGGAGATGCAGTTGCGATGTCCGAGCGCGGATAATAAAAAGCCATGACAAATTCCGATCGTAATCGCGCGTGCTTCTGTGGAAACGTTTTAACGAGACTCGGGCACAAATTCCACGGAAACATCATTATTCGCAATTATCTCCAGAAACATACGTCACCGTCGCTTACGAAAGCGAATTATTTCTCACTTAGTAGTCACACCGCGGTCCGTCCGCATTCCCGGCGCGAAAATTAATAGACGGAGACCTGGTCGCGCGAAAAATTCCTCGCGCAAAGTCGCCTCCGGCCAATGTACGTCGCGCATCGTGCAAGGCGCACGGTTTTACCTTGTGACCAACATTGGACAACGTGGCAACTTTGAAGATTTCACCGCGATTCTCGCTGATTATCTTCACTCAGGCCCAAAACCGGGTAAAATGCATCACCGGGGAGATGCTTTTCGTGTCACCGGCCGCTACGTCTCGCGACGCGTCGCCCACCGTTGGATAAGTCGCACACGTCTTATTCCAGTTTTTGGGTCGCGACTCTCCTCTTCTCGCACGCTCCTCCTTGAGATCGAAGTAAAATAGAAACCGACACGATACACCCGACGCGAATGTTACGCTCGGCGAACTTGAGGTGCCGAAATATTGCTCGCGTTCGTTGATTCTCTTAGCCAAGAGCGAAAAGTAAAGCGATTCCCGAATGTGCGAGCGAGTCAGCTCCTCTTCCTCTTACGGTAAAAATGTGTCGCAACCTTTCGAAAAGTTTCTAACGCCAAATGTCTCAACGAGTGAACTGAAAACTCCGTTGCGCTGGAAAATCCGAAGTGAAATCCGAAGAGGTTGCTTTTCACTCCGTGAAGAAAAGAGAGCCAATAAGATAATAATCGATGTAATGATTAATATTTATCGTTCAAGTTTTTATTTCAATAGAATTATGAATCAGACATTTCGATCTTCATTTGGACGCTTCTCGATGATATATTAGACTAGTTATATATATAAGTTTTATTTTAATTAATTTCATTACTTAATTTTTTTCATAATTTTATTATTTCATTTATTATTTTAATATTTACCGAAACCAAATTGCTTGAAACTCATTTGCTTGAAACTATTTCACTAAATATAGAGTAACTTCGGCATTAACGCCGCAGAAAAAATAGAAAGAGTGGGAATAATATACCGGAATTACCCTGCGGTAATTATTACCAAATCCTTTTATCACTGTTCGTCCAATAAAGAAGCTAAGTATCGCGGGGCCTCGCGAAAAACATCGTCATCCTCGTCGTCAACGTCGCAGCGACGTCGACAGGGAGGTCTCGCGCGTGTCGCGACACCCGGCCGCCACCGCAAACGCGAACACGCGAGGTCTTTGACATCGTGACCGCGGTGGTCGATCGGCACGACTGGAAAATCGGCGTGCCGTTTCCGCCAGAAACGACCGGTTGTCCTTGATCGGTCCTGTGACCCGCAGATTTCATTGTCCCACGACCCCCGAGATTCGCGCTCCTTTCCATGCAGGACGCACCCTGGGCCGCGTGTTTGGGACCTCGACCATATCCTACGCGCGCACATTATCGTATATCCTAGTCCCTCCTCCTGTCCTGCGGTAGAATTAAGAATTTCCGCGTGATGCTCCTTTTCTCAAGCACGGGACGACGTCGGTCTCGAGGAGAGTTCGGTGAAGGGACGCAAGGACATCGGGTCGATTTCCTTTTTTGGGATCGTCGCTTGATCGTGGCACGGCCTCGGAAGTGATATTTTAGCCCCGACGTCTGCTTAATCCCGGAGAACGCGTCGAGACGAGTTAATAGTTTTCGCATACAGCGGAATTTCCATTCGGAGCCTCCCGGTAGGGTTTTATTGCCGCTGATTGCTGATGAAATGAACGTTTGATGGAAAACTGCTGCAGACGAGAACGTCGATACGTTTCCGGGCTAATGGCCTTTCGTTTTCGATGGCTGCCATGATCTCGTGACAGAGAGCGTATAGGTGTATCGGAAACGGGGCGTTTTCACAGCGAGCTGTTGCAACAGGAGCTCCTGGACGCTCGGGCTCTTTCGGGGCTGAAAACATTCATATCGAGTTAGACCCGACGATACTATCCGTGCGACTCCCGATGCATAAAAGACGCGTCCGCCTAAGCGCGTTCGTGAGAAAAATACACCGACGAAAAAGTACTAAGTAACGTTCAAATGATCGTATAAAAATAATATCTATTTGATTACTTATTTGATCACCTATATTCACT